AAGAGATTAAGCAAATGCAGCTATTATACTTGTATGGAAAGATTATCTTAGATTGTATCAAAGCAAGTGTTGTCATCTGATTCCTCTCTTTCCAGGCTAACATAGCAAACCAACTTCTTTGGCAAAATTTGTCTGAAATTCTTTACCTTCCTTTAAAACATCTATAGTAACAATAATTAAAAAAAAAGAAAATAAACAAAAGAAACCAAATCAAACAAAAAACCCACAACCAAAACACTTGGTTAAGCCATAAACAGATAAAATAGTCGATCTTGAACATCACGTGATCTTGATTGTTCTACCTGCCACCCATCAGTGTACAGAAATGCATTATCTTCTACAGTGTATTATTTTTCAACCTATGGAAGTTAAATTCAATAGGAGAGAGTATCTTAGTGCTGAGATTTTGGAAGAATAAAACATGGCATTTGTACATCTAAAAAATGTATCAAAACATCTGCAAATGAAGGGTATTTACCTATAAATCCTACCTTTCCTCCTGTTAAAACAAGTTTCAAACTGACACAGTATCATGTGTCAATCAATGTATTACCTATTGACTTATGAGTGAAGTCCTTATGATGTTGTCAGTGAAGAATGACACCCAAGATAAAAATTCAATATTAAATGATATACGTAATTTTTATTTCTTCAGAATTTCATTGACATCAAAATAGAACATGTTCTATGGAATAAATAAAAAATTATCAGGTGCTGACTTTTTCTAAAGGTAATGTGAAAGTACAGTATTGAAAATATACATAGTCCACCCATATATTAAATAATCCTATAAAACTAAACATCTCCATGTGTATATATTTATATATGCATTTTATATACATATATACATATATATATATATGTACATATATATACACTGAAATGTTTTTTATATATATTTATAGGCACACAGTTTCAAGTCAGGATACCTCCTAGTCACTTTAAAATGTAGTTCAAGATATTTGGTAATTTGAAGGTACCTTTTTTTTTAGTTTTCTTATCACAAAAGAAAGAAACAACTCTTAGATTTGATTTTGTATTTTGTTTCTAGATATAAGATGTATTAACTAATTCCTAAATAGAAGAATTGTCCAGATTTTTGATAAATATATTGATTTAAGGTGATTTGTTTGTTTGGGGTGTATTTGTTTTTGTTTTCTTTTGGTTTTGGTTTTGTTTGTTTGTTTGTTATAATTAACACTCCAAAAATGCAGCAGTAAACAGCTTTCATTATTACAGTTTTTTGCTGCATACTACAGAAAACATTTACTTGGCTCCACTGATTTAAGACGTACTAACAGCTTCTGTGGGAGATTTTGACAACTGATTTGCCAGGTCCTCTTTTATTTCATTACCAATGCACATAGTACTGATCAGGTCAAGCATAAGTGTTTATGCAAATTTAAAAGAAGAACCTAAGAACATAAGAAGGTACAAAAATACACTCTCATAACTATTCACATGACTACTGAAATAATGTGAATATTTAATATCAGGGCAGCATTGTTGCACCTGTAAAATCATAGTTACACATGCAACACATGAAAATCCAGGTTACTGTAATATGGCTAGGATTATTCTAAAGGACTGGTGTAGTAAAATAAAGCAATGATTTAATTCAGCTGCAAAATTTAGAAGGAAATTTTCTCTATGCAACTAGAAAGATTTTCTCAATAAGAAACTAGTACTTTTCTCACTTGACACCACAGAAGTTCATTAGTTTAACCACTAACTGCTCTAGTTATTCGACAAATTATCTGACTAATCTGGGGAAAGATAAAGAATGATCTCTTCCTCCTTACTCACCCACTCCATTCTTTGTCCAGATATGTTTCTGTGCTTAGCATTACAAACTATACACAAACTATTTTGGAAAAAAAACCAACTTGGGTTTGCTGGACTAATATATGTTTGTCTGTGTCTGGGATAAATAAAAATACTCTTTTCTAAATATCTCTTTTAGAAACAGACAATTTTTCTTTCATTGACAACTCTCTTAAATTGTATTAGTTTAGAAATATACCAATAATATCCTTTCAAATACAACCCCTACCAAGGTGAATATTTTACCTATTAATATATAGGACATCTTTTTAAAATATACATGTACTAAAAAATTAGAGAATATGCACTATCTATTTTATACTAGTTTATATATTGGAATATCAACACTTTATGGCAAATACTGGTTGTGTTGTATAATAATACAGTATCTAACATATTAGACCATAACACTCTAGGTATCAGTACAAATGAAATAATGCAAATGTAATTTTTTTTTCTGTTGAAGCCTAAAATCCATATGGCCACCAAGTTAAAAGGTAAAAAATTATACGATAAAATTCAGAAATTGAAAAACAAATATTATCTATTTGGTTTTGTTACCTTCACCACCACAATTTTATTTAAAGTACTTAACTCCCTGACTATCAGGGAAATCAGACAGTGTACTTTTTTTCCTTTTACAGATAACAAGTTCAGAAATTGATTTGGATGCAGAAGTGAGAAATTTAACTGCTACCCAGAATAAGTGCTCTGAGCTATCCAATCAAGGTATGTCTGACTATGCAGGAAGATTAGTTTTCCAGGTTTGTGTGTATGCTCCTGGCTATATTGAAATTTGTGCTGCAAAAATGAGAGTGAGTATCTAAAGCAATTATGAACGTAAGCTTAAAATACATATACAATTTTTTTTTTTCAAATGCTATAGAAAATAAAAAATGGAAAGAACTCAAGCTTTATTTCATGTCAAATAGATTTTATAAAAATTAAGGACTGCAATTATGACATTTGCTTACTCACAAAGCAAATCAATTTCTTCCACAGGCATCACTATCATCCTATTTGTATTAGCATAAGCAAGTTCAAAATCAGGCTCAGCAAGTATAATACTTTTTTTCCTGAAAAGGAATCAAATTATAACAATTATAAAAGAAACTAAGCAATTTCACCGCATATATTTTCACTGAAACACGATTATATCTTTAAAAGTCTCAACAAAGGTGAAACAGTCCAAGTAACTGGGGATGTAAGAAGGGTTCAAACTGGAGAGCAGTTTGTTGTCCTTAGTTCCCAACAAAATCAGAGATTTGATGAAACTCTGCACTTCAGAGAAAGATGCTTGGTACTTGAGTGATCTCAGCCAGTGTCCAGAGACACAATTCAAACCACTTTAACTTAGCATTAGTGGCTCATATTTAGCCCTGCATGCTGAAAAATCCTAGATCCCTAAACTCTGTATCAGCTAATTTCCTAATCCTTTTCCATTTATTGACAACCCACTTGTATAAGCCCATGCTGCATTCATCTATCACATCAGAATTGCCTAAAAGCCCTCTGATTTACCAGACTGAAAGTCTCAGCTCAGTTCTGTGAGCTGAATAGCATCTACTGTGGAATGCCAGATGTTTGGTGATTATGCTATGCCACTTTTCATCCCCTCCCTTATGCTGTACAGGGATAATCTTCACTGAGCAGCTAGGAATGCATGTGAACACACGCAAAATATTTCCATAGGAAGCAGAACTATGACCAAATCTGCACTACTGCCTGCACTAATACCTCATGTCCTGTCTTTCCAACCCTCATTCCCACTCCTCTCACGTAAATACCTCCAACTCCCCATAGCAAAGTTCCCAACCCTTTCACTTTTCTACTGCCTTATTTCCTTGCCCTCCTTCTCTCTGATGACATGCTCTGGTTATATTATCAGTTCTCACTGTCTTTGGAGTTGGGGGATGGTAGTCACAAACTAGCACTTTATGTGACACCCAGCTAATGCAAAGTATTTATGCTGGCAAAGGTAGTAGGAGGATGAAATACATGTTGATTAGCTAGATAGCAAGAATTAGTACTTGATGTGGCTGTTCTGCCAGTTAACTGTATGTTCAGTTCAGAAAATATGGCTTTAACTTTCAAGTTCCACATGGTGGTATGACACATGCCTGCACCAACTCAGACCAGAAGAGAAAAAGTCTCACTGATTATACAAAATAGCATCAAAATTTGGAAAAAACAAACCCATCAGTTTGACAGTAGAAACATTTAATTGCATCATCCTATATTTATTTCACCTCACAGAATGGTTTCTAAGAGATCGCACAGAGATTAATGAACCAAGGACCTTTTTTATATGTTATTCAGGTTCCCTTTTTCCTCTTTTATTGTCACCAATGTAATTACAACTCATTCCGTGAATTTCTGTAACAATTGTTCTTTTTTCCTTCTATTAAATCTTTACTTATCTAATGTAATTTTATCTTCTCTTAACAGAGAAATATTTTACAGAAAAGGTTCCATCTAATCTAACAGATTCATCCTAATCTGACACAATCCTACAATTTAGTCTCCTTGAAGCAAATAACTGCATTCCCTTAAAACTTGCTACATTTCATTTCATCTTTTTCTTTTTCCTGTCTTCATTGTTTATCAATTGCTTTACACTCTTTAAAACTCCATCTGGGCTCTGAATTCTATACCTATGAAAATTTCATGCTATTTTAACTGCTCATATGACTACACACTAGGAGCTGGTGAGCGGGTGTTCTGAATGCACCAATTCCTGCAGAGAGAAGCCAATGAACAGTAAGAATCACCTGCTACTTCTCTGTGTGGCTGGCTAAACACACTGCTACGCTAGGCTTGTGGGTAGTCCCATGCCATCCATCCTGAATTGAAGTGACCATATGATGAAAATCTGGGACAAAAATCAGGAAC